CGTTGACGTCCGTCACGGGCGGTCGATCGAACGGCCCCCTCCCCCCCGACCCAGACGCGTTTTATCTAGATTTATTACCGCGAGTCACGTCGGCTCATCCTCACGGGTAAACGCGGCCGGATTACGCGATCGGGACCGACGGTGAAAGGACCGGAGACGACGGGACCCACGCGGAGCCATCAATCGCATGGGCGAAAACAATGCCATGCCCCTTTCGCGTGCGCCTTTATTCCGTTGGGTTTGTTTGTTTCCTTTGGACGGGCGCGGAGTCGAGCATTGACCCAAGCCGTAGTGAGCTTCGGCTGCGTGCGCAAGAGTCCAATCTTGGGTTCGACACCCAAGGTTGGAACGGTCCGGCGGATATGAGCCGATTCGACACCCAAGGTTGTTGTATGGTAATTAATGCTTCTCCTTTTCGATACGACTGCGATTAGTGCATCAAAAGCAGAGCACATGAACCGTCTATTTTAATATAAGTTCGATTAATAAATATTATAAATCCGATTTAAATAGACCTCGGTCGTTGACCTCCCGGTGCTGCAGCTGCGATGGAGGTCAAAGCAATGACGATGTCCGAAAAAGACACGAGTGTGTGGGTATCTTTTTCCAGCCACATGACAGGTCGGAGTCGTGGTGGGCCAGGATGGGTGTGGTCGGTGGAGCGATGAATGGGTCAGGCCGAGGAGGGTGGTCATGTCATGGCCCGAAAGCACAGGGTTAGTCAACTGCGGGTGCGACCGAAAGCAAATGATCGATCGCATCGCATATGGTGGCCAGCTATCGAAGCTTATCTTGAAGAGCCAGCCAACTGAGGTTGACTTGGTTTGACCCAACCATGATGAGAGATTAAGCTACTCCGAAGCTAAACATGGAACACACACATCACTGGGATCGATGACATCAGATCCGACACAGCAGGAAGTACTCAATGTTGCTGCACTGCTGGACTAAGCCAGAAGCCAGAAGTTCTTCTGCCATCGGGTGCTGACGAGGTACCCACCGACGCCATGGCTCTGCTTCCTCACCGCCATCGTCTGGCACTCGGCCCTGTCGATGCACTGCTCCACGAACTCCTCGTGGCTGCTCGTCATCATGCTGCAGTTGGAGGGGTGAGCAGAGTCAGACAAAGAGGTAATGGTCCCGACCGAAGAGCTCATGGAGTTACCAGCAGAGCGGCGATGGCTTGCTTTGATTTAGCACCAGAACAGAGACGTCGAGCTTCTTGACCTGGCCGAGAACCGTGGCCAGCTTGGGTCCTTGGATCACCAACACCTCTACTCTCACCTGAACACAGGCATGTATGGAAACCAGATAAAGCTACTGCGAGATGATGAAGAAGAACATGAAGGGGGGGGGGAGGAGATTGCCTGGGGACGAATGGCCTTGCAGATCGACCCGAGGGAGTCGATGAGGCGGGAGGTCTCCTCCTCCCGGTGAGCAGAGCCGGAACAGTGGGGAGGGAGGACGTGGAGGAGGGTGACGAGGTCCCCCTTGTTCGCCACATGGGTCAAGGCCCACACCATGGCCTGCTCGGCGCCAGCAGTGCCGTCTATCAGCACCATCACCCTCTTCTTCTTGCTGCTGCACTCGCCACCTCTCTCCCAGCTCATCCTTCTCTTCTTCTTCTTCCTCGCTCTTCCACCAATGGTGATGATGAGTGAATGGCTTGAAGTATATATCGCCTTCTCTTCGGTCATCAATATTCCCTTCACTCGGTTTCACGGCGAGCTGGAAAAGATTCTCTGGCATCATCAACTCCGTACGGCGTACTATGGCAGGAGCAAAGAGTCGGCAGCTGGGGGAGTAGGAAGGACACAGGCCTATCTCCTTCAAATCCATTAATTGATGACAGCTTAGACACACTTAACAGATAGCAGCAGAAGACACATCTGTCACGAGATGGAAACAGTAAGTTCAGCAACAGGGTGAGTTAGAAGCTCACGCAGTCCGGTGCACCGACCCCAACCCCACACTGTAGTCGTTGACCATGATCAGCTCTCCGAATGAGTGAAAGAAGAGCAAGCAATGTTACACCCGCAGCTTCCTGAACAAGGACAGCGAACACTGATCGAAGCATGCTGGGTTTGCCGTACTTTTCTCTGTGACATGCCAGCATGAGCTCAGGCTATGGGCAAGGCCAACAGTGGAAGAAGATGGAGAGGATAGGGTCCTCATTGAACCAAGAGAAGGCTTTCGAGAGGCTCTTTCATGTCCTTGTGTCAGTCTGGCCGCATTCAAGTGTGTTGGGAATTGTGGAGGAGGAAAACAAGTTGATCAGTGCAGAATATTCCGTGGTGTTGCTGCATCACACGGATACGCAATGGGTCGTACAAAACCTTGGCAGGGCCATGTGAGGGGGAATGATTCCTACAGTTAACTATTGTTCCGTAGGATGACTCCTCGGGGTTGGATACATTCTTGATCAGAGCTTGGAATGAATTCTTAGTGAGATGAGAGAAGGGATTGAGAGATGCTCGCCTCTTTGGCATTTCTCTCACTAAACTCTTCGTTGTTAACGCATTATATGGAGGATTTAAAATGAAACCACTTTGGGTCTTCAATGGTTTGAGAAACCAACTAATAAATCATTTTTATTAATAAAAATATATAATACTATTATCTTGAGAGTTAATTATGGGGTTCAAAGTGAACCAACCTAATCGAATCGAATCGATTCAAAATAGGCTCGATCTAAATGGACTCAATAATGGTTCGATTTTGAAGACTATAAACAGTTTCAATTCGAGAGTATACTTTTAATCGATTTAAATCGATCAAACCAATCTAAACTTCTAATTTTATAAATGATATGAACTTAATTTCATAAATCTTATTGTGTCGTTTAATTTTCAGTTCAATTGAATTGAACAAATTCAATTCAAGAATTATTTTTAAAAATTAATTAAAATTATAAATCAATTAAATTGTTATCTGAATTAGACTAACTAATTTTAAATAGATTCAATTAAGTAAATTAAAATTAGTTTCTATTTACTTAATTAATTATTTTATTTTAATTAAAATAAATTAAAAAAATCGATTCGATCCTTAACACTACAGTTAATCATGTTCACATAATAAACCTTAATTGAAAATTAACTAAACTTTCTAATATAAAATTCAGATTTATCTCCATTACCCACTTTACATACATGTAGAGAGAGGATCAGAGACTAAATTTATAGTTACAGAAAGAATATTTTATATCAAGACATCAATTTTTAATATATATATAGTTAATTTCACATCCTTAATCATTTTGTTAGTATTTTTCATTAACAATAAGATTTAAGACATTTATGAAATTATCATTAAATATGAAATGAAAAATTAAAGATTGTGGGTCATATTAATTCTACCATTTGAATTCCAAATAGAATTGGAATTATAATTATAACTAAAATCAAAATATTAATGAATAAGATTGCAACGGGCCTTAAAAGTCAAGGTTTTGGATCGAGGGTAGACTCCCACGCGACTCGACCACAAATATGTGGAGAGATTGTTTTAGCCCACATCGTTCTTTCTTGAGCCCAATCTATGGAGGGAAGTCAATACAAGGAAGAGGAAGAAAACTCTTTGGAAAAGGTTTTCTTCCCTTCCTTTAAATCTTAATAGATCTTTTTCTCATCTTAAGAGCCAAAACATCCATCTTAATAGATTCGTTCCGAATCTAAGCTCAAATCTTATCTTTGTTGTTTATCATTTACACCAAAAAAACTCAAAAGTCACCGAAACTATTTTATGACATTGCATCTGCATCAGGAATTGGACAATGTTTTCTACATATAATAGGGAGGGAGAAGTAAGAGGAAGGCAGACGAAAGGATGGTGAACGAGAAGATAAATGAGTGCATCTTCTTCTTCTTCTTCTGCACTTGGCCATGGATTATGACACGGAGGGTTTCTACTGGTGAAGACAGCATCTCCTAAGCTGGTTTGAGATAGACGTAAACTATGTATCGATGCACATCGGAGTTCATCTCATCATATAATATGATGCATCCATAGATGTACCAACTCAGGGTGCTGCCTTCCACCTCATGAGATCTTATCGCCAGCACACAAGTGTTTCCTCTCTTTCTCTCTCTCTCTCTCCCTCTGATGCTTTCTCCAGTTGTGAGGTGATAGATAATAGTCCATATGGATTCAACAACGTACAGAATGAAATTTACGAGTACTCTACTCACAAAAATACAACTTGTCACTGACAGGAATGTAAATCCACATCGTCAAAGAGCGCAAGAGATCCAAGTATTGGTGGAACGAAATGGTCAACCCACGAAACGAGAACGACTAAGAGAAGCAAGCATATAATATAAGCCTTGGGAGCTACAGATCGGCTGCATGCAGCGACGGTGAGTGGGCCAAACTAATAATTGCAACACGATGAATCCTATAACATGGGATTCGGTATCATATCGTCTTCCTCAAGCAACCGACAGCGAAATCTACGTCGATCGAGCGCTGATCTCGATAAAAAGTCAACACTGTTCTCATCAGCGATTGACAGTCCCGTCTCGTTGCCGTCGTCGTCACTATTCACGCTGCATCCGGCGATGGCTAAAGGTCGAGATGGACACTCGACGAATCGGATCGGATCCTCGCCGGAACCCGCCACCGACGGAGACCAGATGGCCACAAAGATTCGATCCGACACTGGGAAGGCCGCGACCGGACTCGTGAAAGATTCACACGGGCGCAAGCGTCTAGCGAAAGGTCAACGCCCACAGTCGAGTCAACAAGGCGTTCCCCCACTCCACTCAGTAAGCATGACACGAGGCCCGAGGGAGGTAAGGAAGGAGGATGTGGAGCCCGCCACAGTGGTGTGTCTCGGAACAGCTAAAAGGAGTTACCGTAAGTCAACCATGCCATTGTGAAGGCAGCGGTAGATCTCATGCACTCAATCTAACACGGTCCTACTAATAAATAATTAGATGCTGCTTATTAATGGTCGATATTAGTGCATATAAAGCGATTACGATTTGACAGTTTGGATAGACGACAAGCAGGGCGACTAAATTAATACACACGACAAATAACAGTATTATTCGGCGTCTAATTTGGGACGTGTTTGTATGCCAATCTCGAACCGGCGATGGTGGTTGAACCGGGCCGGCGGGCGAGCGAACCGAAGGAGCGAGCCCGGGGGAGACGCACCGTCGCCTCCACGACGGAGCACGTGGCCTTGCAGGAGCCGTACAAGTCGAAGAGCCGGAAGCGATCGGTCATGGACGCCACCCTGCGCGGGGCGTCGGTGGCCCCCCAGAGCTCCTCCATCTCGTCGCCGACGTCGGGAAGGCTCTTGGCGCACAGGGCGAGGGCGGCCGCGAACGGGTCCGGGGAGGCGGGGGCCCGCGGCGAGGGGCGCTTCTTGCGCGGGGTGGAGAGGTCGGACTGGGACCGGGCCGGGGGAGGGAGGGGGAGGAGAAGGTGGGCGTCGGTGTCGGCGGCGGCGGGGGCGGGGGGGAGTGGGGGCGCTTTGGGGATGCCCGGGCGCTGCTCCCAGGAGAATGGGACGGAGGAGGAGCGGGGGGAGGGGGATGCGGAGGGGGAGGTGGCGGCGGAAGAGGAGGACAGGGAGGAAGCGGAGCCGGAGAGGGAACTGGTCCTGGTCCTGGTCCGGGTCCGGACACGGTGGCGTGTGGCACGGGGCTCCGCCGGGGATCTGGCGAGGATGTTGGAAGATGGCGGCGTCTCCTCCATCGGCTGACAAGAGAAGAGATGCGCTTGGGACGGGGAAGTGTTATTTTTACTCCCTCTTTGGCGTTCGTGTCATGAAGTGGGAAGGAAGGGATGGTATTCTTAAGGAAGGTTATATGCTGAACGTGGACCGGCAAATAGCATACGATTGACTGCTTGGAGGGTGCATCGCGGCCGTCGGGATGATGATAGTGAGCGAATCTTGAAGCAAAGAGGAGAGTGCCGCGCATGAGAAGCGTGGGTAAATGGTTGTTATCGGGAAGGGTTGGTAATGACGATGAAATGACGAGGGTGGAGACAGGCAGTATGTCATTTTCATTTTTCTTTTACGTGGGAGATGAGTCAGATGACTTTTGTATAGGCTATACAATACCATTATGCTTTATTTACATATTTCCTTTAATCGAGTTTAAAATAATATCCTAAATCAGTTCTCGGAAAGCTTAATGTCATGATTGAAATCAAGTATAATAAATATAATATAAAATATATTTATTTATTTTTGAATATGATAATCAATAGAATAACTTGAAACTCACAAACTAACGTACTATTTTCAAGACCATCGTAAGATATCTACTTATCGTATAATTTTTAAACGATCATATATACTTATATGTAGATGAAAATAGAAAATATAAAAAAATAATTACGAGTCGCTTTTTAAATCATCTCCTATCTCTTAAGAAATTATATTATAATTAATTTTTTTTAATGATCAATAATAATTTAATTAAAATCTCTGTATATCTTAACCAAATAATTTATAATATAAAATATAACATATTTCATCCACCTGAAATAGAGCATCTTCTACCAACAAAAATTAGTACACTGAGATTCAGATTTGAAACTTTAGATAATTGTTTCTAAAGTTAGTGTGAGGGGTGAATTAGTGCAGCGGATAAAAATATTAGTTTTGAAAATCTCATTCGTTTCGACAAATTAGTTTAACTTCAAAACGTATGAAAGATTAGTTTTGAAAATCTCATTCGTTTCGACAAATTAGTTTAACTTCAAAATGTATGAAAGAGTGTAGCAAGTAAGTCAGTTTACAATTAAAATAAAAAGTTTAAAGTAAATATAAACCAGATTTTTATAGTGGTTCTATTGTTATGACCTACATCGACTCTCGATTCTTCTTCCGTCGAGGCCATCGACATTCACTAATGGTCTTTCTTCAATAGGCGAATACTAACTACC